GCCCAGCCGCCCGCCGGCGGTGCCCCGGGCCCCCGCGCTGAGGGAACGGGGGTGTCTTTCCCCCCCGGTGAGGTGCGGGTGCCCCCAGCCGCTGAGGGGCTGAGGGAAAGGGGGTGCCTCTCTTTCAGCCCCCGGACAAAAACATGGCTATAGCTGCAGTTACCGAGGCGGAAACCCGGCTGTGTGGCAACTGGTAAGAAACGAAACTGAATGCTGGGCTGGGGGGTCTCTCTGTTGGGGCCTGTCCTTTGGGCAGGAAAGCTCAGAGGTTAAATAAGTGAGCAGTATATGTTCTCGTGAAATGCTATGAATACTAGAAGGTGCAAATTAATAACGAACATACTATCTTTTTAGAAATGTTTGGGGTTTGGTTTTACCTTAAGTATTAATGTCTTATAATTTTCCCAACCTTTACTCAAGTTTCTGACTTAACAGGCAACTAGGCAGAAGCCAAAGTATTCAAATAGAAATAAAGACTTGATTTTCAGTGAGGTATACATGAAGTACATGATTCCAAGTTTTTCTTTAGCAGCTATGTGGTTCAGAAGCAGAGATGTAAAAATAGAATCAATAGGCACATATTGTTGTGGCAGTTGTTTCTCTTTGATAACAGTTCCCTTTCTTTAGAAGCTCCAGTGTTGGTAATACATTTACTGATAATGATGTAATCTCAGAATTTGCATCTTGAATACAAGCAACTAAAGAAATTAACTTTTTTTTTCTCAAAGAGACATCGGAATCCAAACAGTTTCTTGCAACATCAGTCTAGTTTGTTTGCAAGCAGTGAGTATGTGCAGTTTAGACAGTGCTGTTGGACTTTGTTGCTTTGCCAGGCTGTTGGCTGCTTGGGATCTGGCAAGGGAGAAAACTGAACAGCTGTAGTGTTTTTCCTTTGTGACATGGAAGGCACTAAGCAATAGGTTATAAAGTTAATTTTGGTGTTTTGAAGGCTGATTTCTTGTGTGCAGGGGGGGAATGGTACATCCATCTCGAAATGATGCTACCTGCTTGAGGCAGGAATAAGGGCTAAACTCCTGGTTCCTCAGTTCTTTTTGCACCTTTTGTGTCTGTAAGCCTTGCATCCTCCTCAAGACAGGAAAATGAGTATCTTAGAAATGAGGCAAGTTGGGGAATTTTGGCTACAGAGTAATATGGTTACTGCTATGATTCCCTGAACAGATCTGGCCTAACAGGATCTGTTATTTATTTTTTCCAAGCAGAGCACTGTTCGACCTCTCATAGCCAAGTTATTTTCAGGAAGAAACTTTTATCTTCTTAGATTAGTTTATTAACTTGAACCTGGTGATAACTTTTTTATGCTGCAAAATTTGTCTTTCACATAAGGAAAGGAATCCACCTTGATTTTATCTCAATGCAGTGTGAAAACTGTGACCTTTGCATGTTACATACATTAATATCCCAACTATAAAGGAACATGGAGGCCTGGTTGGGCTTGCCTTTCTCTTTAGTTACTCAGTTCTCTAAACCATGAATTCATAGAAAGCTTTCTTAGGATTTGGTTTTTTTATGAAAAACTGCTTGGAATTGTTGTCAGCGTATTTTCTGAAAAGTAACCTCTGTGACTTTCTCATAGCAAAAAGGATATTCCTGTTGCTAATTTCATCATGCATGAAATCCACTGTAGCAGAAATATTGAAGTATGCCGCTACTGCAGTGAATTAATCCCAAAGTCTGAAATGAAGAACCATATTGAGTCTGAACACGTGCAGGTGAGAAACAAATTTCTCCTCTAAAATTGCTGACTTCTATGGCAATTAATCTAACGAGGTCTGTTTATTGTAGGTTACCTGCAAGTGTAGGATGAAGATAGAAAAATGTCTCTTGAAGGATCATGAGGTTGGTGGACTTTATATTATTAGACACTTGGAAGATACTCTACGGTATTTCCAAGCACTGATTGTAGAGCCTTTCTGTCAGCCAAGACCTGGATTCCAACCTGTGATTGATGCATCCTTTTTATTGAACCATGCTTTCTAAATTCACACCCTCTGACAGAATGTGGTTGGAAACTGCCTTAAAATGGTGGAGCCTGCTCAGGCCTTCTTATGGAAGGGGTATCCATGATAATCGGTGATTTTGTACTTATTAGTGATGAAGATGAAAAATGGTACGCTATTTCAAAGTATGGAATATGATTAACTTTACTTTTTTCATTCCTAAAGGAAACATTTCGCATTTCTGACTCTGCTGCAGTCATTATGTGAGTTTTAATAACTCATTGTGTCCAAACAGGCTTTTAAAATAGGTTGTAAAATAAACTAAAATGGGACACAGTGGGATTTTTTGAGTTTCTGAATCCAGTTGGCTGCTGTCACAGGCAATCTTGTATAAATGTCAGTACCTTCCTATGGGCTCATTTAAAGACAGCTCTGGAAGTGCCATACAAGTCTGCTTATCGGTGAGGAAAAAAGGATTTTCTTTGAAGATGTGTCCTGTTCAAAACCCTGGGAGTAGTTTATCCTGCATGTTTGTGTGTAGTGCTTTTAGTTTTGTTTATAAAGCAAATGATGATGTATTATTGCAGCACCTGCAATTATAACATGTATGTCATCTATGTTTAACCCCTTTTGAAGGGCAACTTGCCTGTCATTCAGTGTAGGGTAAAGAACATATGCAAGCAATTCTTGTTGAGTAGTAAATGTGCTGTAAATCTGTTCCCTAATATAACACACACTAACATGTTTTTAGCAGTACTCAATGGAATGTGATTAGTGCTGGACGTCAAGACCATATGTAAAAGCTAACTTCAAAAAGCACCATGTGAATCTGCTGTCCAAGCGTTACAGATTTAAAAAGAATGTTCTGAGTATTTGGAGTGCTTCAGCCGGCATGTTTATACAGAGGTTATACAACACGTTGTTCTTACATTTCTCACATACTATCTTATTCCAGGCTATTCTTTAGTGTAGCTTTGGATCTGGCTAAAGAAACAATAGACCGCTCAGCTTTTAAGCAAACTGAGAACCTCCCTCCACCTTTGCCTCAGTCTTCCATATGTGAAGAATAATCCCTCTTTCTTTTTCCAGGCGTCAGCGTGCCCTCTGCGTCCTGCTGTCTGCCAGTACTGTGACATACAGCTCACTTTCAACAAGCTCCAGGACCATGAAATTTACTGCGGAGCTCGGACTGAGAGATGTGGTGGGTGTGGTCATAACGTCATGGTGAAAGATCTAAAAGAGCATCCTCGAGTCTGTGGGCAAGAGGCGAAACAAGTAAGAGGAAGCAGAACAGTGCCTCGCTTCGAGGATGAGGATGCAGATTTGCGTGCCCTTCGAGACATTAGAAACCGACTAAGATCAGGTAACTATGCTGGGCCTTTGTGGAGAATGCCCAGGGCGCTAGAAAAGCAGATTTATAGCAGCTGTGTAGGAGACAAAACACTTAAGGACATTAGCAGAAGAAATGTTTCAGCAGCACAAAGAAATCAAAAGTGAGGTGAAGTGTAGAGAAGAGAATTGGCTTCTAATTTGACATTTGGCAGCTGATCCAAGTATAAGGTTTTGTAATTGCTTTCTGTGAAAATACTGAATAATGAAAGTTCCAGAGGCAATGTGAGTGGGACTATTTTACCGTGGAATAGAACTGCAAAGATATAAGCCAGCTAAATAGAGGACTGCTGAGGTACCCGGTGTGAAAGCCCAGTCCACTGCCTGTTCTCTTATCTCAAAGTATCTAGCTTAAAAATGAAATTGGAGTTGTTTTGCTCACTGCAAATTCTGTCCGGTTTTGTTTAGCAGCTGCACTCCTCTTTACTCCAGTTAAGTAGAAGGGTAGGTAAGATCTGGATGTGGGTTCACATGTGTAGTGCTGTGCATTTCTGCAGTAACATCCCGTAGCTTTCCTGCCAGAAAAGATTCCATGGTTTTCTTCTGTACATGTACAATTCCCACTGTTGTCAAATGTAATATCATTAACAGGAATTTGTTTCCCATCGATATACTGAAGAAACAAAGCAGAAGTGTTTCAGCCTTGTAAAAGGGCCGAGACTACAGTATATTAATTGGACCTCATTCACAGTGTAGGTCACAGAAGGTTCAGTGACTTCGTAAAGCTCCAAAGAAGCTTAAGTTCAAGCTGTTGGAGTAAGAGGAACGACTTTCTTCTTTTTCTCCTTTTTTGCTTGTTACAAACAAAAATAGGATGAGTGTTTTCCTTCTTCCTCCTGAATTTGATACAGGTGTCCTTCTAGGCTTTGAAACGCTGACCTCCATGAGTGTCCACATGTGTACCTGTGAAACCCTCATGGTTGAGCTAGTCTAATGCACAGAAGTGAACCGCTTGTTGCAGGCTTAACGTTCTCTCAAATTTATGATATTTATCTTTTGAAGAGGATGAACTGGAGCAGCTGGAGAGAAATGAAAACACTCATTCTTCACTTTATGAAGAGTGGGACGCCGATTTAGACTACGTGTTGGCTCTCAGCCTACAAAATGAGAATAATCCTCACAATAATACTGCAGCTGAAATTCCCAGTGACTTCTGGGAAAACTACTACACCAAAGAGTCTGTGCCATCGGCCTGTCTTAATGAAACAGACAAGTCAAATATCTTCTCCTGTGACTCTTTAGTGTCAAACCACATAAAAAGTAAGTATAAACGCTGTTGTGGTGGGTTTTTTTCCCTTAAAGTTTGAGAGAATGGAGAAGGAAAGAGAGGATTCTTGGACTGGGAATGTCAAAGATTATCTAGGTATTTTAAAATGTCAAAATGAGTCTCTGAGACTCCCTCTAAATCATTTTTAGGTAATTAATACACAGGAGATTAGACTCTCCATGAGTACCATTCTTCCTTCCTTTTTTAAATGTTATCTTCTGCTTCCTCAAAACTTAGCAATATTAGTGTTTAAAATAGTTTCTTTCAAAGAGGTATTACTAAAGCAAGACCGCAAGGGAAGAAGAAATAAAAGCTATAGTGAATCTCTGACTTTGATATGTGGTGAGAGCTTCGTAACAACGGAGTAGGTGCCAACTTTCTTGTTGAAGTAAACACAATAGGAAGGGAGGATCTGGGGGAGACCTGAAGTGCCAGCTTATTTTGAAAGGAGAAATGGTACTAAAGGATTTACTGAAGGCAGTAATAGGCTTTTTTACCAGACCATTCAATATATCTTTGACAACAAAACATTGTTGTCGCTCTGGGTGATGTGAATTTGCTTATGTGAAATTCAGCAAGTGGGACTAGAGTAACTGTTTCCTTAGCATTTGCTCTGGTTGCTGTCCTGTGGCACAGAACAGGAGTCTGTTACTTAGGAATTTTGAAGATCAGTCGATCCAACTGCATCAGGCTTCTCTATGGTAGAGGATATAACCATTACTTACTTTGCAGACGACGAGATCATCATGTTGCCCTGTGAATTTTGTGAGGAGCTTTACCCTGCCGAAGATCTGATTCTTCATCAGGTTTAGTACTTTCTTGTATTGTATCTAGGGGTTTGCAGTAAAGACTTTTTTCTGCTACCGTGGCTGAACAAGGGTGCAGTCTTCACTCAGTGATACTGTGAGAACTCTAGCAATTTTGTCTTTGCAAAGCATGGTTTTGAGAGTCGATCTATGCTCAACAGGAGAGCTAATTTTTCCATGTTGCTTGCATAACAGACAGGTTGTAACCCAGCAAGTGCCTTTGCCTCCTTCAGTAAAAGAAGGTCTTCTCCAAATACACGAGAATATGATGGTCTGCGTGCTGCTGGGCCCAAAAGCTGTAGGTCTCTCTCTTCATCCCAGCCCCAAGCTGTCCAGGCAGAAGGAAACATTATGATTCCATGTGAATTTTGTGGCATCCAACTGGAAGAGGAGACACTCTTTCATCACCAGGTACTAAACAGAACTTGATCTGTTGTATCACATCTAATTGTTCAATAACTATGCCAAGTCCTGCGGCCTCTTGTTGTGGCACGTTTCAGGAATCCAAGTAACTGTCCCCTGTGTCAGATCTTCCCAAACAAAGCCTCTTGGGTCCCATCTAAAATGTTGCGGTATGCTGAGGCTCTTACTCAAAAATAACAATTACTTTTGAAAGCGCTTGTGACGAAAGCTAAACAAAAGGCCCTAAAATTGCACAATGTAAGTGTTTGACTTCTACATAAAAGCGATGTCGAAACCAGGATGTATGAATCACAGCTAAGGTGGGTGAGGAGCACGAGCGTTATGACCTGTGTAGGTAAGAGAGGAAGTAGACGACACAGACTACAAATCTAGGAGATGGAGGAATGTCTCAGAGGGTGGATGTAAAGACAGGGGGAAAGGGTAAGAGCACGAATATATCTGAAGCTCAGCCTAAGAGAGAAGTGGTGGGTTTATGAAGCGATGGGTGCTGCAGAGTGCTTACTAGGGTATTCCGGTTCTATACATTGCTGTCTGAGACTTCTAATATGGAAAGAACGCCAGGTCTTGGTACTGCTGAAGCTGTTACTGCTTTTCAAGAATGCTGGACAGATACCAACTAGACCGCTTGGTGCTTTACTACTTCTGTACACCTAAAGAGCGGATTCGGGGAGCGGTGTGCACGTGGAAGAGACAGTCCTCTGGAATTTGCTGCTATTACAGACAAATCTGTACACCTAAAGAGCGGATTCGGGGAGTGGTGTGCACGTGGAAGAGACAGTCCTCTGTAATTTGCTATTACAGACAAGTTGTGAAATTGCTGAGCTCGCTCATTTTCTGTTTCACAGCTGAAGGAATTGGGAAGTTAACAGTTCTTACAGTCCTAACTAACAAACTAGTGAAGCTGTATTTTGTTTTTGTGTTTTTCTGGGCCCTTCCTCTCCTTGGTGGTAGTAAATTCAGTATTAATAGAAGTGAGATTTGATAAAATGTCATAGCTTATCCTTTGCTAAATAGTCATGCTTGACACTAAGGAGAAGTCCCATCCACTTCCTATTACAGCTGGCTGTTGGAAGACTCCAGGCGGGTGTTGGGAGACCTCCCCCCCCCCCCCTATCTAACTATTTTGGAAATGCAGAATGCAAAGACTGCTTTATCTACAAGCTTCTAATATTTGTGATGAAGTTTGTGTACGATAATCAGGACTTGTTAAGTATTAGTGACGGGAGCCGAGTTGCCACAATATAGTTTGTTTGCAAACCATGAAAAGGACACTTGTCTTTAAAGTTTTGCATTCCACGTAGTACTCCTGGTATCTAACAAAGGTAGCAAATGTTTTCCTTTCTAGTTCATATTTTTGTTTTGCGTCCTATGGGCTTCTGTCATCTTGTTTTGTTGTTCCTCGATGTAATTAACCTGCAGAAAAACATGACTTTGTAACAAGGATAGCCAACAGGGGCACTTCTGTGGGCAGCGTGACTTGGAAATCACTTTAAACTTGATTTTTGTCCTTGGATTTGGTTTTTATGATGGCACCAATACCTACCAGGTTGATACCTGGGACTGGCTTTGCAGGGTCATTTTTAGGCGTGAGAGGCAGAAGGCTGAATAAGAGAGTGTCTGGTTGTTGGCTGGCAGTGAGGCCCCAAATACGGGGTGGTTCTGTTCAGCAGGACTGGCTCACGCTGCCGGTTCCATTTTTGCTTAGGTCCTGTGACAGCTAGTGATTATTCCTAAGCTCTGTGTAAGAGAAAATGTGGGTGTCGACAAGCCAGTATCTACCTCTTTAGCCTAAACGCAACTCCCTACTAACCTTAATCTTTCTGAGGGGTGATGCTTTGCAGTGTTTTTACAGGAATACGTTTGAGTGAGCTGTCGTTTAAGCGGTCAAATGTATGTTTTCCTTTAGCACCGTTGTGATCTGCGCCCGGCCAGCCCAGCAGCCAGCCTGCCATCTCAGCAGCTGCTGTCTCCTCAAGCCAACAGAGAGAGAAGAGAATCACCAGAGCTGGCTCGGAGACGAATCAGGCATCAAGGTGTGGGCAAAACACAGGCTTACACACGCTCTTTTCCTTTGCATTTGCAGGAACGCTGTGCGTGTTCCAAGCTGAATAGATGTTGCTACCCTGTTCTGTCTCCAAAATTTAAAAATCTTGGATCCCCTACCATTGGTCTAATTTTACACAAGAAAGATGAAATCACTGAAACTCGGTATCCTCAAAGATCTTGGTTATGAAGCCCTATGCTGCTGGAATGGAAATTAGGTCTAGTTTTGTTATCTGAATAGTCTCTAACGTCTCATGCTGCATTTACTATTCCTATTAAGCGCTGTGTTCTTGTCCTCTCAGGAGATGTTTCTCCTCAGTGCATAGGCGGCTTTGGGCAGCAGAGGCTCAGCTATCCTGCACAAGGGACCAAGTCACTGAGTAATACGGCAAATGCCGGGAGCGCACCGTTGTCCTCTTCAGCGAGAGCTAGCGATGCTCCCGACTCGAGAGGGAAGCCCAGGAAGGTGGCTGGCAGTGAGGGAAGACCGAAGAACAGAGGCGTGAGTGAATCTGCAGGTGGGACAAGGCCCCGTGCGAGACCTACTCAGAACTTTCATTCAGAAGCCTTCACATCCAGCTTCTCGAGAACTTCTCCAACCCAACCAAGGTAACGCCTTTCTCTTCTGTTTCAAGCAGCCACGCTGGGCCTGCCCTAAAGCGTAAGGGATCGGTGGCACCGTGTGAGCAAGTTTTGCTCTGCTGAAAGGGGGGGCGCAGCCTTACGCCTGGCGCATTCTGATCTTCAGGCAGCAGCAACCCAACAGCAGCAGTAGTGACAAATCCATTCCAGTCCTCTGCCTCATTTCCTTCTGGTGCAAGTCTGGATTCCCTCGTATGTGCCAGTGGCTGAAAGGGTTTCACTCAGCTTAATTTGGCTGGTGCTTATCTGAGTTTCAAACAGCAAACTTAAGCTTTTATATCAAAATAGAATGGACAAAATGATCACTGGGAGACAACATAGGATAATGCCTTGTTACCTATCCATTGTAGCGCGCTCATCTTAGCTTTTCTCTTGCTCCTTCAAAACTCAAACGTGCATAAACCTAAAATGAGATCCAAAAATTTTAGCGTGATGCCTTTATGGCTCATCACCTACTTTCTTTGCCGCTTAATTCAGCTTGCATCGCTGCCAGCCTGAAACCTGCTGGGTTTTTTTTTCCCCCTGCAGTGCAGTGTGCACTATTGAAATGCCTAAAGGCAGTTGACTGGGATATGGTTCTTCTGCTACAAGAATAACTGGGTCAGGGTTCAGGAGAAGAACAAAGGGCTTCTTCCTAGACCTTCCAAAGTCTCCCTGGTGTGAAGGACCTGTGTCTGTTCAGCGGTAAGAGCACTGGAAGTGGTAGGCTTGCTTCATCTGAAAGCGTCCCTGTTGTTCTTCTACAGCACCAGCAATGGAGGAGGAAGGAGCCTCGGGATGTCGGATGGTCCAGCCAGCTTCAGGCGCAGGAACACAAAGGTAAGGCAGCCAGCGCAAAGTAGGAGAGCGGCGCTTCGCTCTCTGGTTGGGTGGGGACTGGACGCCTCCCTTTCGGAGAGGACAGTGCCTGGCTGTTACCCCTTGAGTTTTTTTGTGATGGTTTTGCCAGGATGATGAGCTTATTTTACAGTCCTTCCTGCTTCAGTGAGGTTTTTATCGATTGCTTGTTATCAAGTACTCTTTGAAAACAGCATTTTTACGTGTT